GACGACAGCTTGACGTTTGGACTGCCAAGAGATGAGTGACGGACCGAGGAAGAACAAGTAGCACGTAACGGAGCGTCGGAGCTCTCCCTTCGGTCCCCAAGAGGCGTCACACCACCCATGAAGTTCAAGGGCGTTGGGAATGCCGCCAAGGAGAAGCCCGAGCGAGGTAGTCCCTTTCAAGTAGCGAGCAACGCGTTTGGCAGCCGAGACGTGAGGAGTAGACCAATCATGAAGGTGACAAGCAAGAACTCCAGCGCTATATGCGAGGTCGGGACGGGAACCCACCATGGCATTCATGATGGATCCGACAAACGAGGTGTAAGGAAAGGAGGAGGAGTGTGGGGAGGAAGTCACGGGCAGCTGAAACTTGGTGTCCATGGGGGTGGCAGCAGGGTTAAGTGGAGTGAATGAGTAGGTGTCTAAGATGGAGGTGATGAATTTGGATTGATGAAGGTGGAGAGTGCGGGAGGTCCGATCACGAGTGATGTGAAAGCCAAGGTAGTAGGAAAGAGGACCGAGGTCACGAAGCTTGAAGCGAGATGAAAGGGCACGCTTGAAGGAGGAAAGAAGAGAAGAGGAGGAGGAAAGAATGATGAGGTCGTCAACATAGACGAGAAGCATGAAGAAGAATGCAGCTGTAGGCCGATAAGGAGATTGAGGAGGAGCAATGAAGAGGCCGGGGTCCGCACGGGCAGCAAAAAGGCAAAAGGCAGCAAGCTCTTTACGAAGTTTGCGGTACTAGCACCACGGCGCTTGCTTCAACCCGTACAACGGTTTGTGCAAGAGACAAACTTGCTCAACACCATGGACCGCCGGAAGCTCATAACCGGGAGGCTGCATCATGTAGAGAATTTCATCAAGAGTGCCGTTGAGGAAGGTGTTGGAAATGTCCAGCTGATGGACTTCCAGGTCGAAAGCGGCAGCAATGGTGAGGAAGAGGCGGAGGGTGGCGAAGCGGACGGTAGGAGCAAAGGTGTCATGGAAATCAACACCGTCGCGTTGTTTGAAACCTTTGACAACAAGGCGGGCCTTGCGACGTTCAATAGAACCATCAGCATGCTCCTTGACCTTGAAAATCCATTTGCATGGAATCGGCTTACACTTGGGTGGTCGAGGAACAACGCTGTAAGTGTCATTAGCGTGCAGGGCAGCGAGTTCCGCATCAGCAGCCTTGATCCATTCAGCAACATCAGGGCCGGTGCAGGCCTCATGAATGGTTTGAGGTTCGTAATGATGATGAAGGGCGGCATTAGCGGATGTCTTGGAAAGAGGAGGAAGGGTGAAGTCAATGGGTTCAGAAGGAGACGGTAAGACCTTGAGCAGTGAGAAAAGTGAAAGAGTGGAAGGAGCTGAAGGGGATGGTGGTGAGGAACTAGAGGTGCAAGGAGGAGGACGAGCTGAAGAAGGAGAGGAGAGGGATGGAAGGCGGAAGTCTTGCGGCGTCGAGGGCAGAGGAAGGTTGGAAAACAAAGGAGGAGGAGAAGAGGTGGCTGGTGCGGGCAGAGTTGGAGATGGTGGGAGGAGGGTGGTGGAAGAGGGCATGGGTGGTGAAGGAGAGGGAGGGGAGGTTGGGGCTGAGAGGGAAGGGGGTGGGGGAGGAGGTGGAGATGATGATATGGGTGGTGGAGATGACGATGGAGGTTCTCGAGGGTCATCGGAAGGTGGCGAAGAGTGCTCCATGAAGATGACATCACGAGAAAGTGTGACACGGTGCTGAGATGGGATATAGATGCGATAAGCCTTGGTGCCGTCAAGATGACCATACCCAACCATGATGCCGGCCGTGCTTCGGGCGTCGAGCTTAGAGCGCCGTTGCGGAGGAATGAGGACTGAAACGGGTGAACCGAAGATGCGGAGGTGTGACACGTCTGGACGTGCACCGGTCCATAGTTCTATGGGAGTCTTAGAAGTTGAACCACCCTGACTAATGGCATGATTTCGGAGATAGGCAGCAGTGAGAGCGGCTTCACCCCACCATCCTTTGTCCATGTGTGCGTCATGAAGCATGGAACGGACCATCTCAAGTATAGTCCGGTTGGCGCGTTCAGCAACTCCATTTTGCTCGGGTGTGTACGACGTAGAGCGGTGTCGAGCGATGCCATGAGCTTTAAGGAATGAAGTGAAAGCGTCGGAATTGAACTCCAAGGCACCATCGGAGCGAAACGCTTTGATGGTCCTTGGGGAATGCATATTGTGCACCCGAGTGACGTAATCTTTGAAGCATGAAAATGCCTCTGAACGATGGCGTAGGAGATACACGGTAATGTGGCGGGAATAGTCATCGATGAAGGTGAGAAGGTAGCGAGCGCCTCCAATGGTAGTTCCATATGAAAATGGTCCAGCAATATCCGAATGAATGAGTTGGAGCGGTGCTGTGGTGCGAGAATGGGACACGCCAAATGGTTGACGCGTTTGTTTCCCACGATAGCACGAGATGCATTGGGGAATCGAGGAGGAGGAGAGGTTAAGACCGGTGACCAGCTACTGCCTATGAAGTGTTGACAGGTCCCGCATGTTAAGATGCCCGAAACGGCGATGCCAAAGGTATGAGGAGGTGGTGGTGGAGACTGGACATGCCGTGGGGTTGATGGGGGGGGCGGCACTGCTCCCATGATGCAGCTGAAGATAAAACAGATTGTTGCGGGTAAAGCCCTCGCCGATATGAGCCGCAACAGTTTTGAGCTCAACCCGCCCTGCAGTGGGGAAGGAAACGGCAATGCCGGCAGCTCCAAGTGCACGAACCGAGAGGAGGTTGTGAACCGATGAAGGGAGAAGCAGAACGTTGTCTAGCTGGATGGTGGTTTCCGAGGTTTGTGAGCGAAGAGTAGCCACCACCGTGCCGACTCCCAAGACTTTGTAAGTTTCTCCACCACCAAAACGTACGATAATATCATCAGTTGGCTGCCGGAGAGATGAAAACAACGAGCGATCGGAGCATATATGGGAAGATGCGCCGCCGTCCACCAGCCAGGAAGAAGTCCGGATCATGTTTGAGGAAGAGGCTATGAGTGCCAATGCGTAGGGAGCACCATAAGGGAAGAGGAGGAGGAGGAGGAGGATGGTGAAGATGAAGACAGCAGCGACGAGAGGAGTCCAGGTGGGGGAGGAAGGGGCGGTGGCTGGTGCTGAAAGCAATGTCAACGTACCGGGAATCAGGTACGGACTGAGGGGCTGATGGGGCAGTAGGTGTTGTGGAGATCGAAGGGATGTCGGCGGAGGAGCTTGTTGACACATGCACCGAAGGCTGGATGACAGATTTCTCCCGTCGAGAGCTTTCTTCGAGCTCTTTCTTCTTCTTCAACTTGAAGCATTCGTCAATGGTGTGGCCGGTTTTCTTGCAGTAGCGGCAAGTAGGGGACTGGCGGGAACCGGAGCGAATAGGGTGGGAGGGCTGGGAATGGGGTTGTATGCACCTTCCATGTTGCGGCTTGTACCAGATTGTGACCGCTCCCAATCGGCATCGGGTAGTCATGACTCATGACTGCAGGTATTCAACCGTCATAGACTTTATGTCTTTCACGGTGCAAATAGTTTCTGTGAGAGTCTTGAAGGAGTCCGGCAGATTGAGAATGATGGAGATTACCACCACCCAAGATGGTAGCTCGAAGCCGGCAGATTTGAGTTGGTGCGTGAGATTTTCAACTCGATCGAAGTAGGAGCGAAGACTCATTGTTGGGTCCATCCGTGTAGTGATGAGATCTCGGAGGAGAGCCACTTGTGCATGGTTACCCATGCAGTCAAACCGCGCCATGATGCATCCCCACATATCCTTCGTCGTGTTGGCTTGAGCAAGTGTTAGCGAGAGCTGAGGATGGACGGCTGACATGAGAAGATAGTACGTATGCTCCTCTTTTTCTTCATCCGGCAGCGACGCAATCGAATGGGTTGTTTTAAGGGTTGCACCATTGTTGCCTTCAGTAGCATCTCCACTGCTGGTTGTGGAAGAGGAAATGGAAGGGCGAGCAGCAACCTTGGGATCTCCAAGAAGGGAGATCAGCCCAAGGACATTGAAGATGTAACATATCTTTTTCTTCCATGGAATGAAGTTGGAACCATCCGGTTCCAAGATAGGAAGGGTGTGCAGACCGAGAGGCGTCTCAACTTGAGCCATCAAGTGTGCGACGTTCACAAAGCTAGAAGCCTAGCTCTGATAGCATGAAGAAAATGGATCGGTGAACTTATGGCACGATAGGAAGAAGAAATATCTTTAGCAAGAAAATGGTATAAGTCTTAAAGACTAGAGCAAGGTCTTTATCCAAGGATAATTCCTAGTGAAGTGGGAAGCCACATATATGTGGTTGAACTCTTGAGGCTAGCTGCAGCACCTCAATGCTGAGGGCAAGGCTAGCCAACCTTGCCAAGCTAGCAAGTGAGGCCACATGTTGCACATGTGGGCCAGGCTAGAACAACAGCCCACATAACAGCATATGGCACACCATAGAGGCCAGCAAGGTGAGTGTGGGATGAGTGGACAGGTGGCAATGCCAACTGTGACCACACTTCACTGTGGTGGAGTGTGGTGGAGTGTGGACATGTAATGTGGGGCATAAGGAGAAGGGCTAGTGCAGCTGCTGAGAATTGAACCCACGACCTCTAAGACTGAAAGTGAGAATCTACCCTCTGGGACATACTTGCTGCACAACATGTTTCCTTCCCCATATCCTCCCATCACACACATCTTACCTCTCTTCCACCAGCACGTTGCTCTGCTCTAGCAACTCCTCCGGGGTGCAAGGCAGCCCGTATCGCTGCACCGTGGCACGACCCATCCCCCATGCACCCCACCCACTCCCCGTTTCCCATGCAACCCACACAGTCCCCATGCGCCACGTCCACACATCTCACCTCTCCTCCACCAGCACGTTGCTCTGCTCTAGCAACTCCTCCGGGGTGCAAGGTAGCCCATATTGCTGCACCGTGGCACGAGTGCCATCAATCGGCCGCTTGCCAATACGCCCCCTTCCCTATGTGCATCCCACACAATCCCCTGATTGACTCACCTCTCCTCCACCAGCACGTGGCTTTGCTCTAGTAGTTCCTCCGCACTGCAAGGTAGCCCGTATCGCCGCACTGTGGCACGAGCACCGTCAATCGGCCGCTTGCCGATTCGATCCTCCGCACCCTCGCCCGTCCACGTCCTGTCGTATCGCTCCACCAGTATCCTTGCCACCTCCGTCACCGCACTCTCTGGAAGGGAGGAGGGTGGGAGGGAGGAAGGGGGACAAGGGGAAATGAGCACAATCAGTCAAGACATGGACAGACACGTGCTTGCCAATTCGATCCTCCGCGCCTTCGCCCGTCCACGTCTTGCCGTATCGCTCCACCAGTATCCTTGCCACCTCCGTCACCGCACTCTCTGGTGTTTAGAGGGTGAGAGGGGGGAGACAATGAGCAGTGTGAGCACAATCAGTTGAGCTACCTGTCTGCCATACTCTCCTCTGCGCCCTCGCCCGTCCACGTCTTGTCGTATCGCTCCACCAGCATCCTTGCCATCTCCGTCACCGCACTCTCTGGAAGGGAGGAGGGGGGGAGGGAGGAAGGGGGACAAGGGGAAATGAGCACAATCAGTCGAGACATGGACAGACGCGTGCTTGCCGATTCGATCCTCCGCGCCTTCGCCCGTCCACGTCTTGCCATACCGCTCCACCAGCATCCTTGCCACCTCCGTCACTGCACTCTCTGGGGGAAGGATGAGGGGTAGACAGACAGGGAGCAGCACGAGCACAATCATTCCCAATGCGCTCCTCCTCCCACTCACTCGCCCGTCCATGCCTTGCCATGTGGCTCTGGAGATGGCTGACGTGGCAAAGAGCAACCTTGCCACCTGCGCTACCAGCCTAACGCTTTGTACTTCATAGAAGGGGTAATGGTCGCAAATATATGTAGCCGTCGCCGTTTTTTCTCTACCAGTTCTCTAACGGCTTCCGTTTTCATCTGATGCAGATGCGTCGACTCAAAAGTCACATGAAATCCAAGGTCGACTGCGACTCGAGGGTTATTCAGGGTAGTGTGTCCTACCAGCGCCGATCAACGTCTTAAACAGATGGGGGGGAATGCGAGCAGGAAAGCGGGTCGGCTAACTCAAGGGAATGTGCTCAACCAGTGGCCATTAATAGTCCCACGAACCTACTCCAGGGTCTGCCTACTCAAGGGTGGCTCAAGGGAGTCCCTACCAGTGTCAATCAGCGTGCCATCCAGGTCGAAGATAACGTGCGTGATTTTCGCGTCAGATAACGACTTGCCAGCTGGACCAATGACGGTGAGCGTACTCTCGGTTCTTGTAGGAGCCGCTCCCTCGCTCTCGTTTGCCATTGCGGGAGAGCGCCGTGCAGCCACGTGGCGCGCTACAAAGGAAGAGCCATATAGCAGAAGCACGAGCTATAAGTATGGAAATAGTTGGAGAAATCTAGGCTCACATGGTCATGAAGCGGGAGAATCCCAAATATCTATGCTTGCTCCAGAATCTCGAACCTAGGGAATTTGACGAGTGGGTGGGATGAAGTACGAGGATCAGGATCCAGCTGTGTGTCGTCGATTCGCGACACTCAAACTCACAGAACCCTGCTCAAATGCTAAAAAACGCGCTGTACCTCGAATTTCTCACATGAAAACGCACTCAACCAAGTATCAACATGCACTTATACCATACCGTTTGCCCTTGTACCGCTTTGGACCAATTATTAACCGCGCTGGAACTCCAGGATATTCTCGGACGTGAGCTTTGGGCTGTATTACTCGCTCCGGTACAAGTATATCCTGGGTAACGAAAATGCAAAAGCACAATAACATTGTGGACATACATAATACATTTCCTTACAGCCAACCGTGGCCTGAACTTTCCATGCCTATATTATTCGGTCCACTAGAAGAAGCAGAATAAGCTACTGCCACAGAAAAACTTCGTTTATTCTAGCATCTAACAACACAAAAAGTGACTAGAAGAGGGGCTGAGAGCAGGGCTGATTTTATCAGGGTAATTGCCCTGATTTCAGGGTGATTACAGGCTTCTCACCTGGTGGTCCCTGCAATTTCAGAATTTCTGACTTGTGAACACTGATCCATTCAGAATAGTGCTTTAGCGAACCCTGAAATATTGTATCTAGGCTCAGAGTAGTGTTCTTACTGACTCTGTCAATGTAGAGTACGCGTTATGTGGACTCTGAATTTGACCTTATCGGAACGAAGTTTCTCGGAAATTTCTTTCCAATAACCCCGCCTTCGGACTGGTCGCAGTACAGCCAGAGCGTGAGCAGCGCGCGGCAACATGTCTGACAGGTGAATACACTCTACGTATATTAGTTTCACAGAATTCGACGATGTCAGTTGTATTGTCGCAATTGCGTGTGCGTGAAGTTACCAACACATTTTTTGCGTTTCGCACAATGATGTTGGCGAATTGCGGGTAATCAGCGAATAGGAAATCTTGGCACATCTATGGTACCGAACTGTTTGGTGGACCGAAATTGCTCGTTTCTTCCCCGCGCTAAAACGTGTGGAGAAAAACCATTTAGAGAAGTTAAGGGTGAGAAAGTAACGCCCACAAGGTGTGCATGAAATGATTGTTAGAATCCAGAATAGAACGAGAATGGATGAAACTAGGTAGGAGGGGGATACAAGTAGGAAACCCTAACAAAGCTGTACCCCCTAAGGCTAAACCCACTATAGCCTACACAATATGAACATATAATGTTTGACACACCCCCATAGGCTAAGTGGGAGACAACCAGATGGTCACAAGACCAGTCAAAGCAAAGCAAAGCAAGCTCAGGGTGGATCTCAAGGAAACCACACAAATTCTGAGCACAAGCAAGTGGTCACAAGACCAGTTCACATGCAGGTTGATAGTATAACAAGAGATACAGTGATCACAACCTAGCAAGAGTAAACAAGCAGGTATATATATAGAGATCACAATACAAGCAGAGTCAAGAAGTAAGCAAGTGAGGCCCAGTAGGCACGAGGCCTAGAACAGTACAGAAGCGCTGATGGTCACAAGGCTGAAGCGCCTTGGTGAACACATCAGCAGTGTTGGCCCGAGTGGCCACGTAACGCAGACGAAGCTGACCGCGCTGCTGCAGCTCTCGAGCAAGGAAGTAGCGCAGAGCGATATGCTTCGTTCTGTGCTCCAGTCTGTGCTCCTCACACAAGGCAATGGCAGCCTTGTTGTCGACGTACAGCACTGGAGGAGAACGAGGCCGCTCTCCCAAGTCGGTCAGCAGGTAGGTGAGCCAGCGTAACTCCTGTGCAGCCATGGCTGTGGCGTAGATCTCAGCCTCACAACTGGAGCTGAGAACAGAAGACGAGCGTGTAGAACGCCAAGAAACTGAACCAGAGCCAAGGCTGAAGGTGTAACCCTGAGACGACCGCTGAGTAGCCTGGTCGTCAGCCCAAGACGCGTCTGAGTGCCCAGTGAGTACAACTCGGTCTCGTCCTCCAAGCACTAGCCCCATGCCCGACGTACTGCACAAGTAGCGCAACACCCTCTTAGCGGCATCCATGTGCTCCTTCCGGTGACGGCCAGGAGCGACATAGCGTGCAAGGATGCTAAGAGGGTATGCAAGGTCAGGTCGAGTGCAGGTCATCAGGTACATGAGGCAGCCCACAAGCTCTGGAAACGGGCCACTCGGCTCTACGGACTCATCCGAAGGCAGAGCTGAGAGCGAGTGACCGGTAGGCAGAGGAGTGGGCTGAGGCGAGGAGTACGTGAAGCGGAAGCGCTGAAGGACCTGCTGCACCATGTGTGACTGAGTCAAGGTGATGGTGCGCCGTGCTCTGTCCCGGGTGATCCGCAAGCCAAGATAGCTTGTCAGTTCACCCAGGTCTGTGCACGTGTGTCTCTTCTGCAGCTCCGACTTCACGTGGGCGAGTGCCGCAGTGTCTGCAGTGGCAAAGACCAAGTCGTCGACGTACACGAGGATGTAGAACGGCGGCAGCGAGGTGTCGGTGCGTAGAAACAGCGACGGGTCAGCAGTAGAAGGAGCGAACCCAAGAGCCGCAAGTGTAGTCCTCAGTGTGTCGTGCCACTCACGTGGCGCCTGTCGGAGACCGTAGACAGGCCGTCGGAGGCTCCACTCGGTACCAGGAGGGAACGACCCAGTGAAGCCAGGTGGGCGGCGCAGCCAGATCTCCTCGTGCATGCTGCCCTGTAGGAAAGCAGTGCTGAAGTCAAGAGAGTGGAGCTCGTAGTCACGCTGAGCGGCGACGTGCAGCAGAACCCGAAGAGTGGTCATCTTCGGGGTCGGGGAGAAGGTCTGGAAGAAGTCAACTCCCTCTCGCTGACTGAAGCCTCGTGCAACGTAACGCGCCTTGAAGACAGGCGGAGAACCCGGCGGCCACTTCACCCTGAAAATCCACATGCCACTGACGATGTTCGCCCCAGGTGGGGGAACCTCGTCGGCGTAGGTGCCTGTGGACTTCCAGGAAGCCATCTCTGCGTCCATGGCTGTCTGCCACTGAGAGGAGTAGGGACCCTCTATCGCCTCTACGTAAGAGCGCGGAGTCGGGATGTCTGGTGCATCCGGGTCTCCCTCAGGGGCAACTAGCATGGACACGAGATGAGGTAAAGCAGCGGCAAAGCACTCAAACTCCTCCTGCCTGTCCTCAAGGACGTCCGTGCCAAGAGCACACTCACCCCCGAGGGACGGAGGACAAACAGACTCAGACTCAGCAACTAGGCTAGCGGCGTAGTCTAGACGACAAGTGGCAGCAAAGTCGACAAGCTCGGCAACTAAGGCAGACGCAGCAGTGGACTCAAAGGAAGGGTCAGTGACAACAGTAGCCAGGAGACGCGTGACAGTAGGACTGGCAGCACGAAGAGAGTCAGACTCAGGGTCAGCAAGAGCAGGAAGAGAGGACACAGGAGGAGCCGGGAGAGGGACACGCTGGGGAGCAGTGGAAGGACGAAGCGCCATCTGGTGAGTGCCTGGGACAGCAGGAGGACGCTGACGCGGGACGCGACGACCAGTGTGAGCAGCACGAACAGGCGACGCTCGACGAGACTCAGGCGACGCAGGACGAGACTCAAGCTCACGACGCTCCGTAAGACCTCCAGTCGGACCAGTGTAAGGAGAAGGACCAGGGAGAGGGGAGGCAGACGGTAACTGTGACTGCGACTGGACAGACGGAGGACACTCTAAGGAGGGAGGAGGACAAGGAGGAGGAGGCTGACCAAGAACCTGCTGAAGGAGCGGAACGAAGTACGGCCGCGGCCGCGCAGCGTCTCCAGAACCAGCAGAGACACCAGCGCCAGGGTCCTCAGCACCAGCAGCAGCTCCACCTCCAGGGTCCTCAGCACCAGCAGCAGCTCCGACTCCAGGGTCCGCAGCACCAGCAGCAACTCCAACGCCCGGGTCCGCAGCACCAGCAGCAGCTCCAACGCCCGGGTCCTCAGCACCAGCAGCAGCTCCAACTCCAGAGTCCGCAGCACCAGCAGCACCTCCAGAAGAAGCAGCACCTCCAGCAGCTCCAGTAGCCCCAGCACCAGCAGCACCTCCAGCAGTTCCAGCAGCACCAGCAGTACCACCAGCACCAGCAGCACCTCCAGCAGCGTCAGCAGCACCAGCAGCTCCAGCACCAGCAGCACCTCCAGCAGCGCCAGAAGCACCGCCAGCAGCAGAACCTCCAGCAGCTGGGTCCGCGACACTAGGAGCGACACTACGAAGACTGCAGCGCCGTGCGTACCACTCTCGGAGTCGCTGGGGAGAGGGCAGCTCCCGCCTAGGAGGGGAAGCACTAGCACCAGCTCCAGCAGTACTCCTGGCTCCAGAAGCACCTCTCCTGA